CTCCGCAAAGGACTTTTAGATGGAACCAACCCGTATTTGCGTTACATGGAGTGGAAGACCACGAGAATCTCCCACAGTTAGCCTGACGATAAGGGGGCTAACCTTGGGGCTAAGCGTCTATCACTAAGGATATTTCACGTCAACACTGTGGTCGGTGCAAGTCTTATGTAGAATTTGTATCGACCAGCCATCGTTGGAATTCGAACCTGGGTCACCTCATTGGAAGGCGACAGCTCTATCCCCTGAGCCATCGTGGCTCTATCGGAATATATTATAGAGAACGAAAAAAATTATATTATACAGATAATTTTGAAGTTAAGTTTAAGGTCACTTTCATTAATTTGTATTTAATTATTCTGGCAATTTAATAAATTTTATATCTAACGCTGATTTATAATTTTTTTCTTCATTTATATCTAACGTGCTATAATTAAAATGAAAGAGTTTGAAAATCTACATTTAAAAGTATGGCAATTAAATTGTATTTAAACGAAGTTAAATTGTATTTAAAACGTCTTTTAAATTGCTATGACGTAACTACCAGCAAAAACAGTCAATCACCGACGATCGTTGCTTGTGATGTCAAAATATTCTAACAAGTTATTGTTATTGTTGATTACATCAATCTTGGTCACTTTTATATGAATTTACTTTAAATTTAGGGATATGGATGATTCTGTAAGGCTTCAGTATCGTAGTTATAAATATTGTTGTTCATTATTCAACTTCTGCTATCAAAACTCCTGAAAAAAAATTTTTTGCTGAGCCTAAAGTAGAACGTATACGTGTTTCTAAATAAATGTGTAAATGGATATTTTATATATAAATATTTATCTGTCTGTAGTTAAGGTTAGATAAAAGACAACGTAACATATTTTGTCTTATTAAAAACAAAAAAAGAGAGATAAGTAAAATTTATTGAGATTTTTCAAAATTAGACTGTTTTATAACAGTTGATGAGAATACAATTTCCTATTCGATTTTCAATAAATTTTAATCATGCATTCACTAGTTAAAAATAGTTCACTAGTTCATTAAATTCATTCATTCAACATTCACTCAACTAGTTAAAAATAATTCACTAGTTATTAAATTTTAAAAATATTGTATTGCAGTTACAAAATTAAAAGAAAAAGAAAACAATAAGAACAAGAATAAAATCGGTTCACAGTTTTCCGAAATATTTGATTGTCGAAATCAAAACTCATAATGTAGGTAATAGAGCTGAAAAAGAAGATATAGACTCTATGGTCCATTAAAAAAGACAATAGATTTTCATCAAGTATTGTGACTGAAGCCCCTGATCTGAAAAAGGGCGTTGAACGTTCTTCAACCAAAGAAACGGAAATATTCCCGCCCCTTGCCGTGACCGACTTCGCGTTCTACCAGAGATATATTTCTTTGCCACGAAAATTCCTTGTTGTATATCATTTTTTGTCAGGAAGCAATGATATTAAAAATGGCTGAATATGCATGCATGCATTTAATATATGCTGAATACAGATAGACGAGGGAAATGACACGGGAGCTACAGTAAAGTTTTTAAAAATGCCCTGCATACTAATGTTTGCGGAATTAATTTATGATATTCATGAAAGCTTTTGAAAACAAAAAAAAGTTTATTTAATTCTAGGTATTAAAGGTAACTAAATTTAAGTCAGTGCTAGTCTGTAATTTATCCCTTGGAATAGCACAACACATCAAATTAAACACGCGTTTATTATTTTTTTAAAATTTTATTAATGAAAATGCGTTTTTTAACCCTTTCACACGACGATGGGATCCTTTTTATTTCTTTTTTATGATGTTCTAATTGCAAATAAGGAAATATTTTGGTATTTTTTTAATATGATAAGAAAATCTGCCAAATTCCCGGAATAATGTTCTAAAATATAAAAATATTAAAAAAAAAAAAAAAAAAAAAAAAAAAAAAAAAAAAANTTTTTTTTTTTTAACATTTTAATTTAAAAATTTATCAATCATTAATTTTGAAAATTTAGAAACGTCAATAATGAACTAGATCTAAGTAATCTTAGGTTTAAATAACTGTAAATAATTACAAATTTAAAAAATTATTGTTTAGAAGTGGGCCATGTTTTGGAAATTTTACCTTTAACCCAAAAAGGGACACCGAGGATTATTAGAATGCTAAATATAATATTTCTCATTTATCTGGACCTAAATTAATACAAAATATTGAGAAAAGTATGAAAAATATGTTTTATGAAAATTCTGTGTCAAAGGGTCTATTAAATTTTTATTAGGATATTGATAAGAGATCGTTTTCAAACTTTGAAGAAGTTTTGCAGTAATTTCTAAACTTAACAAAACTGGGAAAATTTGGTAGCGCATCGAAAGAATATTTAATAATCTAGGGTTCTAATTGCAAAAATCAATAATCAAATTATTAATTGTTAAGGTGGGTTTACACCAGAAACGTCTCCCCGCATATTGCGTCCCTTGCGCAAGAACAGAAAGTAAAAACTAATAGCCAAAACGCGTACAAGGTTAAAGTTGGCCTTTACTATGAGTCCAACATTAGCTTTTATGCTCTGCGTTTCAGACTTTTTTACATATATATGGTTTAAATAACACATAACACATAAGAATAATTTAAATATGTGTATATCATCAATACTGTCACTATGTACTTTTTATGCAAATATGCATTAACGAAAAATTTTATTTCATAAAATTTTGCTCATATATCGTATTTAAATACATTAATTTTCTTTAAGAAAAAAATTTTTCGTCAATTTTTTTCTAGCTGAAGTTTAAAAACTGGTAAACACAGTAAACATCTTACATTCAGCGCCTAGGAGCCACAAATATTTTATCAATGTTAAAACATGTATGCGTCAACTACATAAACATGCCACCATCGTGAAAGTTGAGGGCCACTACGTCTCAAATCTGTCCAGGAACTTGTCTCCTAAAATCACCTGCTTTTCGATGTTATCTTATAAATTTTATTTTAAACATAATCGCCAAAAACTTCGGTTTTGTATGCGTTTTACAATGCTTTTTAATAAAAATTATCAAAATTGTTCTTTATAATTGTCAATCACAGGGAGTTATTAAAAAGTTTCCATTCTAATGCTAGAGCAGACAAAAAAAAGCCCCACTTTTGGCTGGTAAGTGCATAGCGAATTTTTACGATAGTGAGCTTAGCTACGATTTAGAAGATAAGTTAATCGTCTCCCTTTTAAATTTTATTTTAGCTCTATGAAATGCTTGAATCTTTCTTTTCTTACAGGATTTTGAATCTTAATGAAGACAAAGTACACTTTTTAACACTTTTATCTAAATTTCAATTTATATTTCAACTTTTTTTTTGCTTTTTTTGTTCTTAAATTTATTTCTTCGTTCCAAAAATACATATTAATATGTTTGACCATAGAAGAATAAGTATGAATAAGTATGATTTCTTGTAGATACAAAATAATGTTTCTCAATAAATTATTAACATGTTGAATGCGACGCTAATTTTACATGGCTTGCCCGTCTGCCACATGGTAAATAACTACTATCTAAATTTGCAAATATTAGACAGATTTTGCTAGTTTTTTTTAAAAGGTTTAGCATGACATATGTGAAAAAAGTGGTGAATTATATAAGCCTACGAATTGTTTAGAAATAGTGGTGGATAAAAATCTACTAAATTGAATTTATTAAACCATGAATCAAAATTAATAAGCTACCACTTGAAAAAATTTATTCGTTGTCCGGAAAAGTTGGCATTTTTGTGTATATAATTAAAAATTCTTCAAGCCATTTTAGTAACGATGATAATATTATAAAATGAAAAATTTACTCGAATTATGTGTTTCTAATAATCTTTGTTTCGCCGGTCACTGGTGACCCCCGTGGCGCTACGAACAAACTCAGTGCTGGTCACCGGTACCCCCATGGCATTCAACGTGTTAATATGGACTTTACTATTCTCTATTTATAGTAGAATTTATCATGTTAAACAATTAAATAAAAAAAGAAATAAACATTTGTCATAAAAAGACGATAAAGACACTATATTATACAGTGATTATTCTTCATTTATACAGTAACAACTAAAAGTTTCCTACGGGTTAATTGATAAAGGTATTATTTGACTGAGTTATAAATTTATCTTTTGCAGTTGAATTTATTAAACTTCTGATAATTTATCATATTTATAATTGAGCAATGAGCGCTATTTACTTAAAAAAAATTAGTGTAAAAACTCATTAAGCTTCAAACCCGAACGTTGTTGAAATTACGATAAACTAGTATTTAACTTACCCAATTTAGAAAAAGAAAACTTTAAACCTTTAGATAAAACTTAATTACTTCGAATTTCCGCCAAACACACCGTAAAAATTAAAGTGTAATCTTTAAAATCATTAAACCCCTTGTTCCAACTTAATTAACCTCAGCATTTAATAAAGAACTAATTTCAGATATCTAAAATCATTATTTAAAACATGTTCTAGCGAAACATTACTTCTAACCCAGCTTCATTAATAAATTAAAGAGTTAAAGACCGACGAAAGATTGCATCCTTATATATACTTCAGCTGAAAACGATTACAGTTCTAGCCGGCGGTTCAATCGATATAGAGAAATGGTCAGTCAGCGACGCAAATCCGTTGTTATTAGGCAGAAATCACAAGCGGGCTGGATTTTCCTAATGGTGCATGATGGCGAAAACTTTTTCCATTACGTTCGTTTGTATAGCGCGTGACGTTTGATTTTGGTTTCCTGGTTCTGAATTTTTGATTAGAAACTTTAGGCTAGAATGGAGATGAGCTGAAAGTTGACGTGTTTTAAATGCTCAACGCGTAAAAGGCTTTTATCTCTTAAAGTACTTAGCAGGAAATGTATGTCAAAAAACTACATTACGCTACGTCAAAAAGCTACGTTATTATATTAGAAATTTGTTTAAATAATTCTCGAAATTCGAACAATTCACTAACCATCGCCGTTGAACATTTTATTACCTCATAGAGAGTATCGGTACTTACTTCCTTTTATATCAAAATGACTGCCTAACCTATAAAAAAGAAATCACAATTTCACATCAAAGAATCACAATATCTATAAATTATACCCTATAAAAAATTGCAATCTACTATTTTGGTAACCTAAAAAAATTCAAATAAAATATCACGATTTTTATAAAGCAGTAAAAACTTCCACAGTTGAAGCTCATTTTCAAAAATAGGAAATTTATGAATTTTATTAATGTTTTTCTTGAAAAAATATTTTTTATTGCAAGAAACCTTGAAACCTTATAAAACATTCCCAATAACAAAAATCAACATTTTGGGAATCTATTAAAATAAATTCCATAAGCTATTATTCCCTAAAAATATCTAAGATAAATACTCTATAAATTGTTCATGGATTTTTTTTATTTTAAGAATCGACATTTTTCAATACGTGAAGACCATATTGAAAACCTATTAAAAAATTTCAAATGAAAGAATTATAATTTTGAAAACCTATAAATTATTCATTCTAAAAGATCACGTCTTAAAAATCTTTAAAAAAAGTTTAATAAAAGACCCCAATTTTTAAAAACCATACAGAATTCTCAATTAAAGATTAAAAAAATTAATGTTAACCACATTTTTATGCACATTTTTTCTTTAACAACCCAGTAAGCAATCATAAAATGCCAAAATACGGCATAAAACTATTATTTTAAGTTATTTTAAGAAACAAGGAAGTTATTTTAAATTGATTCTAAGTTGTTTTTCGCTATGTGACTTAGAGACAGGTCATGCCATTCTAAAACGATATCTTTTTATTTTATTATATGGTTGGATTAGTCACGCATGTTTCTGCAGCGAATTAAAAATTTTTTTTTATTTTATTGATGATATGATAGTTAAATTTTTAATGAAAAATATAAACACTATGGGATAAAATATTAGAAACATTCTAAAATATGAACTCTTCTCCATATTAATGAGATGAAACGTTCCAAAACACAGCACGCAAATCCGGAGTTACTCTACTTCATCGACTCGAAACAACGCCAATCAGTAAAGAGAAAAATGTCACAGCGGAAAAAAAATTGTGATGAAAAGCGTGCATCTTAAAGTATTTAGAACTGAACGAGAAAAAAAAAACTAATTTTGAGAAAATGAGAGCTATTAATCATTGTACGGTCTAAGGCTCTTCCAGCTGGTAGATTTATGTATTTTGTTTATCAAAATTCTTAGAAAGTTTAACAGAGATTATAAGTCCATTTAGATATTCAAAAAACATTTAAAGCAGGAAATCTGTACTTGTAAATTAGGTTCATTTTCTGATTAGATTACAAGTCAATGTTATAAGGACTCTTTAAGAGTACTTTTGTAACAGTTTAAAAAAACAATTCTCGGCGCATCACACTGTATAAATCACCATTTTATAAAGTAAAATCGATAGTTAGAACCGAAATCCTATACAAATTTGTTTATTAGCATGATAAGTTAAAAGTTATTTTTTTATTAATTTAACTACCACTGTGTGAAAAAGTGAAATTCGCACTAGGTGTTCTTTGTTTTTTTTTAAACCATTGAATATTTGTTATTGATATTTGCTTTTACTTACGATTTGTCTAGCGATGTTCTCAGAAATTAAATCATTCTGCTTTATTACGTTAAAAAATATATATAAATGTCTTTTTTTCTATATTACTTTAGACATGGAGATTAATTGTTTATCATTAATTGAACTATTAGAAGGAAATACATATTTCAAATTTAAATGTTTACAGAGAAGATTTATTTAAAACATTGATTAAAAAAGTAACATTATAGATTATTTAAAAATGACTTTACGAACTTAAATATTTAAACAAACAGATTTACCGATGTCGTTCATACTTCCAGAAAATGCACTCCCTCCTTTAATTGCGAAAAAGTAAACAAAATCAAACAATTTCGAGGAGGCATGTCTTAAAACTTAGCTCAATTAAGCCAATGCGGTCGTAAAACATATTTAAAAAAAACTGAGAAAACTTTACAAAACTATTTTCACGCATGCGACGATGCATTTCAGAACGAGAACTAAAAGAAAATGTTGACTGGCTCTTCAAGTCACGCTTGAAAACACTTAAGATCATTGGGATACGTGACAGAAGAGAAAGAACTTCTTTAGAAGAAATAAACGTCCGGATTAGATTTCCTGGCGAAGAAAAAAAGGAAACAGATAAGGAAAAAAAAAGAACTCATTGCAATATGTTTGAAGTGTGGAAGTGATCGGAGATACCTTTTTTTCTTACGAATCTTCTTCAAAAATGGAAGAAAGTACCTAAAGTGATTTTTTTATGTGCTAAGTGAAGAAAAAGCCCGCAGAATAAACTTTTGGTTGCAAGAAAAACTTCCCATAAGCAAGGTTTGGCTTAAAAATGTTTGCCAAGGCGTGAACACTTTCCATTAATGGACTTGTTCCTCACATTTTCCTTCCAAAAAGCGCCATTTCAAGCATAGAAAAGTATTAATTTCAAAATATTTAACTTAAGATGAGATACTTTATGGATGTTAAAATACTGTGGTTAGTTTGGGGAAATGTAGTGAAACGTTCTAACATTTTAGTGGTTAAATTAAAATCGATATTAAAAACTTTTGCGCTATCTTTCAATGATATTTACTTTTAATAAAGCTATGTTAATTGCTCCCAAACTTCTTCAAATGTTTCAAATAAATTATTAAAATGAAAAAACGTTTTATACGTTGTGTTTTTGGAAAGTATGTTTGAAAACGCTTATTGTTGTTGAATCAAACATAAAAAAGCAGTTTATTTTGGAAAACAATTCAAAATTTTGATCAAAAAACAATTCAAATGATAAAATTAATCTTGAATCTTTAATCTCTTTTTTTAGAAGAAATTTATGAATAAGATAAAATTTTATAACTGTCGTAAGAGTTTTATTTAAATAAAATGGAACAGCTGAACATTTTAATATAAAAATGCAATATCAATATTTATATTTGATGACATACTTAACATATACCAGTACAGTAGTTTGTTTTTAGTAAATACAGTCATAAAGGTTCGATTACATTTAAAAAAGACGACATTTTGTACATATTTGAGATAAGTCAGCATTTTTTTCTCAATATTAGAAATCATAAGAGCTAGCGCTATTTTGTGCGTTAAACTTTATGTTTCATTATTTCGTGAAAACTGTGACATTTAGAAACTTGAAATTGCGAAAGGGCATGGAAGACTATACAAGGAATTCGATGGAATAAAATAATACAATGGTCATTTAAAATTTCATATAAAAGTCATTTAAAAGTTCAAGAATCAAAGAATTTTTCAATACCTTAAGAGTACTATCTCAAAGAAATTAAACTTTACCAAAGGAGGACGACATAGAGGCTTTTCAAATTCGGATTGGGCTATTGTAACAAGACGAAGACGATAGAAAATCAACAACTGCTGATGTCTTCTGTGATTTAAATTGTGTTATCCTCCAGAATTTAAGAAAACAACAAACTGTTGCCATATAAACTGTTGAAGCAGAATACTTGGCTTTAAGTACAACAGCACAAGAATTGATATGAATTCAAACTAGAACTACTTAATCAAGAGACTGAAGCAATAAAATTATATTGTGACAATTAGATTGTCATTAAACCCTTTGCTTTCAAGTCATGTAAAACACGTTGACATTTGCCATCAATTCACAAGCTAAAAAATCGAACAAATATTAGTATAATTATTGATTCAAAAAGCAACGCTGCAAACCCCCTGACCAAACCAGTGACCAATTGTACAGATGTAAGGTCGTATTTGGACTTTCGTGAAATGGGATATGAGTATATCATTGAAATCCACAAACCCTTTTAGAAATGAATCTAGCAACGTCAATTCAAAATCTGATTATAAATAACACCTGTTTTCTCAACTTCAATCTATTCTTAATAATAAATATTCGTTTTACTTAGCTTTCTTCACTGCATTTACGCTACTCTACTCACAGATTTGATGTTGATATTTGCATTACTTAATTTTGCCACTCTCTTGCTGACATTTTTAACTTAAAAAATATTCAAAATATATTAAAAATGTATTTTATGGGGAAAAAATTAAATTAAGTAAATACAATTTTTAAGATCATATAATTTTCTATCTAAAAATAAGTAGTTTTGTTTAGTACGTGGTGTATTTATATATTTTGAAAATACAACAAATTATTTACGCATTTATGTATGATCCAAGTGCTGCCAATTTAGATACAAAAATAAGTGCAATTTCGATGGCACGCCAGGTAAATATATTGATAGATAATTTGTGTTTATTATCAAAACCAAATAATTTATAAAAATATTTTACTTCATTAGTTTATTTTAGAGCATTAAAAACTTGACTATTTTCAACATCCAATAAACGTTTGAGGAAGGAAACCTTGTAACTCTTTCACAAAGAAAGCAATTTACAAAACATTCCCCAAAGAAAACTGAAACAAAAACGGTTATTTGTTTTAATCCCTATCACGACATACCAGTAAGAAAATATGAAGCTCACCAGAGACCTAAAAATACACTATATAATATAAACACACAATAAAAAAAACTGAAATACTAAACCTATCATTTTTGACACTTTCCTAAGTTCTTAAAGCGACTAACAGAGCGTTGAAAGATAGGCGTAAAAACAACTACACTTTTTCAAATCGACGTCGAAAGTCTGGGACCTTTTTGATTGATAGTCACAAACCCGAAAAAAAAGTATTCGTTTTAACAAGAGAACAGCCAGCTTATTTTTGTAGCAAAAATGTACATTATGAAAGTAAGAGTCGGAAAAACTATTGGTTTGGTAAAGGTTTGCAAGGAATTTTTCAATTCAATTTTTCAGTGGAGACTTTTTTTAAAAAATAGATTATCTTTTGATTAGGATGGTTTGAAACGTTCTATCAGTGAATATTTTTTCTTTAAAAAAAAGGCTAGGTAACTGACTTATTTTGTATTGAGAGTCAAATTTAGTGCAACCACAGCATATATTTTTTTGTATAGTAATCAATTTAATGGACATGGATAAAAATTTGTCTAC